TGTGGTCTGGAAGGGGTGTTTTTATGTGGGAACATCCCTGGGTAAGACTGTGAGTCCAATATTTTTGGTGCAAGGGCTGTTTTTGGTATGGAGGCCAGTCACATATTTCCTTAAGAGTGTGCTGGCCACTATTCCCTTGATAGTGGGTGTGATTGGTGTTGTGGTGTCCAGAGCCTTCACTGGGCCTCCTCTTTGCTCTGTGGCTGTCATATCCCTCTCAGGGATGGGGTTTGCTGCCTGGTTGTTGGGAGTAGAAGCCTTGAGGGTCAGGTTTGATAAGGCTTCATCTCCCTGAAGTGTGTGCTGTCTCAGAGGAGATGATTGCTGAAGCAAGTGAGGCCCCTGTGGTCAGAGCAAACCTATGTACTGCCCATGCAGGTGTGTTCAGTTCTGCCTGGAAGCAGCCCAAGGTCGTGTCGCTTTCTCTGTTACGTTCATCCCAGACCTAGTACTAGGCTGTAGTGTGGGGTGGGCTGGTGCTGTGGCTGCAGGAATGGAGGTGTTTGTGCTGCTGCCTGGGATTTGGGCTGCCTCCATGACAGGCCTCTTCCAGGACCTATCCGCACTAGATCTGGCCCCAGGTTACAGTGTGGGGTGGGTGTAACTGGAGAGCTCCCACTGGGAAACAAACTGCTGTATATTCCTCCCCAGGGACTGTCTGCACAGAGAGATGCGTCTCTGTGGCACCACTGTGTGTGTGTGTGCTGGCAGTGGGTTCCGATGCTGGACCTGTGCCCCGCTGTTCACGTGCTGACAATGAGCTCTGAGGTTTGGCCTAGACAACACCCCAGGCCCTCCAGGCTGTCTCCATGCAGTTAGACAGAGTCCTATCCCAGGGCCTATCTGCCCGAGATTCAGCATCTTCCCACTGTGCGTTCTAGCAGCCCTGCTCTGCACGCCTTTGGGACTGGGAAGGGCAGGAGGTGGCAGCTGTCAGTACTGGTCTCCCTCCGCCCTGATCGCTAGGCAAGTCAGCATGCACACACTCCCTGCAATCAGAGTCCAGGCCACTCCAGCCTCTCCCAGCAGACCTCCCAGCAGGCAAAGGGGCTCCCCAGAGTGAGAGCCTGCCCATGGGAACCTTTCCTCCTTCACAGATCCCTCCCAGGGGTGCTGGTCCCATCCTGATGCCTTTTTTTTATGTGTTTGGTCCTACCCAATTACATGGAAAATCTTTTCTGCAGCTTTGGTTGTGTAAGAGATCTTCTGCCAGTTTCCAGTTGGTTTTATGTGAGAATTGTTCCACAAGCAGGTGTATTTTTGATGTGTTTATGGCGGTAGGTGAGCTCCACATCCTCCTACTCCACCATCTTGATCCTCCCTCCCCCAAATGATTTAATATCTATAATAATATAGAATCTCATGGCCACCCTATTTTATGGTCATCTCATGTCATAAATTTGAAAACGCTGGCAATCTCGTCTCTCGCTACTAAAAGCCTATGGTTAATGACTGCTGAGGAGACGTGAAGAGTGGGTAGTATATGCCTAATGTCCAAACGTGCCAAACGTGTGAAAAGAACAAAAGGTGCAGCAAGTTAAGAACGCCAGGACTAAGCAAACCAGCAGTGCGTTCTTTTCCGCCATACACAGACTACTTCACGCCACATGTTTTCAAGTGCATTGTTTGACTATAAGAAGATTTAATTTGGGGGCCAGAAGTTAATCATATACAGTATTTGCAAACCAGCTTAACTCAACCCCGATTACTCATCTGCTTAAAACTTCACATTTATGGCACAGCAATTGAAGATGCAAACTGAAATTGATTTTTTTTTTTTTTTTTGGCTTCCTTTCTGATTGGCTGTTTACAATGCCACAAAGGGACCCTAACACTAGTAGTCTGTTTCCCTGGTTCTTTACCTATGCGGTCCTTTTATGGAACTTGTTGGCTTTAATAATGAAGGGAAGATTGATGGTCATATCCCATTCATCAGGAATAGGACAGGAACCTATCTTTGACTAGAGGAGTTTAATTTTGATTTTCGGCTGGTCCAAGCACACAGTAACGCTGGTTAAATTAAGGCTTTTCCTATATTACTTATATTGTGAAAAGTTATTCAAAGAGTATACTAACATAACTTCTTGAAAATCACATAAGAGAAGATGTTCATTTATGCAGTCAGTCAGTCATCTGTGGATGTCTGGATAATGAAAATCTAGCACAACTCAAACCATACAAGCTACTACTGCCTGCTTTGGCAATTAGAATATACATGTTGGGAATCTAAACACTTCCTCTACCAAGCATAGTGAGGTGCACGTAGTGAGCCACGTAGCTTCGACTTTTTGAATGTTTACAGAAAGCTGACCCCTTGATGATGAAAGAGACCTTTATTTTAAAAAGCAATTGGTCAATTTATTTTCAGAATAAGAGTTGATCCATGTTTTCAGTTTATTGCCATACACAAAACATTTTATAAAATAATAGGGTAGACTGCCACTTCAACATCTTCATGTAAAAACTTCACAGTGCAAGGAAGTGATTACCATTAAGTATGAAGACATCTAAAGCCAGCTTAGTATTTTAAGTACAGGGCAGAATACTTTTTGTGATTCTTCCTAAAAAAATGTTGGCATATTCATTAAATTGCCCAGGTTACAAAAATCACTTAGTATCCATTTCTTATCTTTCAGTATATTTTTAAAATCTACATGGCATCATATTAAATGCTGGTGGGGAAAAACAGTGTAAGAATCTAAAAACTTTTCAGGTAGCACAATAATTTAAAACCAGCTAGGAGAAAACATTCCCCCAAATATTTCTGTATGTAACTTTGTGTCCCTTACCACAGTAACGAAGTGAAAAAGCCATTATACCTTAGAAAGAAGCTAAAGGAAAAGATTTCACTCTTCCTTTGAAAACACAATTTCTTAGCTCTTAAATAGAGAGAGAAACTTTTATTTTGTGTGTGTGTGGGTGGATCATAAGTAAAAATATCAAATTTATTTCAGTTGTACAAATGTCTCATTTAGGAAAGAAAGTGAATACTTTGATTCAAAGGATTCCAAACTATTTCATCATTACAAGAAAAGTGTAATTTTAAGCTAAAAAAACTGACACATTGAACTAATATAAATCATCCACTAGCATATCCTATTGTTTATCATAAAATCCAAAATTAAGGAGTAATAGGTAAAAGATCTTTTTCCAACATTTGGTCACATCAGCTAATCAGCCCTGGGCAAACCCCACACACCCCGAGTTTCAGGATCCTCATCTCTTATGTGAGAGTCCTGGGCTAACGGCCCTTTAACATCCCTTCCAATTTACAAATTTGTATAGCACTGTTAAGCTTACATAATCCTTTTGAGAATGAGGTGTTTCAACTCAATGTATTTACCAGAAAAAGTTCCCCATGTAAGTAGTAAAGCTGTTCTTTAAACATTTAAAATCTTACTTTAAAATTTATTTTCAGTGTACTTCCCTGTCACCTTAAAAGATGAGGTAAGACTAACAACTTAGTCTCCTGACTTTCATGGTCTCTTAGACCAGGCGGCTGACAGTGATCAGCAGATACAGCTTGAGCCCTCACACCAATTCTGGGCAGCTTTGGGCTATACTCTGAGTCTCAAAAATGAAGATGATACCACCTGTTTGGTATCTCTGTCTTAAAGCCCAACAGAGTTATACTGAATATACCAAAAATTTGTATACTACAAATTAACATTCGAATGCAAACATCTGAATGTGATAAGCCCAAGGTGACTTTTTCCTGATAAAGTATAGATATTTTTCATAACATGTTTTTTGTCAATACCTGTGCATTTACGGCTCTAATCCTTTGGTTACCTGACTCTTCTGTAGCCAACTTGTCTCTTGCTTCCAATTATGCACCAGTTTGTTCCTAGAGTCTAGAAGTCTGACCTTTCAATAGGTGAAAACCAAAATATAAACATCTGTTATGTTAGCAAATGTGGTATTACTCACTTTAAAAGCGTGGCTTCCAAACTAGGTGAGGCATCAGACTGGTCTAGGAAGTGTTATCAAAACTGAGATTCCTGGGCTCCAGCCACAGAGTCTGATTCTGTATGTCTGGAGTAGGACTCAGAAAAACTTTCTCAAAAGCTCCCCCAGGTAATCTCAACGATCGTTAGTACAGTTTTTGCGACTCACTGTTCTGCCCTCAGTTTCTTAAATTCAATTTAGAATTTTAGCAGCTGTTAGTTTTAGTATAAAAATTTCCCATTGCATTAATCATAAGCATATTCAAAGTAGACTGCCCATGATCTTGGCTTAGTTCCATAGGAAATCAATCATTACAATCCTTTGCAATAAAATTAAAACATGATAAATTAACTTCAGAGTGAAGACAATGCATGTAGATGCTGAAAGGTGGCTGGTTTTACACTTAACAGGGCAACTGTTTACTGCTTTAATTGTACTCAGTCATGTAAATCTGTAGATCATCTTATTACATCTGTCATTACTAAATAAAGGCTGGCAGAACTCCTCTAAAACAGAAAGATGGCTAACTGGCTAATCGATATTAAGGAAATGTTTCTAGCAGACATAAAAGTATTTCTTAAAAAACTACACAGCTTCCTGTAGAAACCCAAAGACTTCTACGCTTCTGAAGTCTACCATAAAGAGAAAGTTGACCAGAACTACAGTTGTTTAAAAATGTTCAATTAGGGCTTCCCTGGTGGCGCAGTGGTTGGGGGTCCGCCTGCCGATGCAGGGGGCGCGGGTTCGTGCCCCGGTCTGGGAGGATCCCGCGTGCCGCGGAGCGGCTGGGCCCGTGGGCCGTGGCTGCTGGGCCTGCGCGTCCGGAGCCTGTGCTCCGCGGCGGGAGGGGGCACGACGGTGAGAGGCCCGCGTTAACGCAAAAAAAAAAAAAAAAAAAAAAATGTTCAATTAACTGTGAAAATTTAAGTGTAAAATAGGTACAACTTCATCCTTTAAGAGATTTAACGGGCATAAATGGAATTTAACTTACCACTTATTCTATCTACCCAAATAGTTAACTGTGAAAACGACACATGAAGTATTTGGTATAATGTAGTTCTGAACCACCATCCCTTCCAAATTTAATAAAAAAACACATCTGGATTTTCCAGGGGTCCCAAGTGTGTCTAGGCACTGCGGAATGTTGTCATGTCTTTTGGTTCTCTGCTGGGAACACACCAGTCGTCAGCCTCGTGGTTGGTGTTGTAATGCTTCCAGGCAGCTTTGTTATACACCGGTAGTCTTTCTATTGATTCTGTTGACAGAGCCTGAAAGTCAAAGCAGGACCTAAATCAGGCATTTTTTTAGAATGCATTATTTGAGAAAATCTACAATGGCAAAAAGGTTACTACAAATTAAACAATACTTTATTGGATTTGTATTTTATCAAACATAAGACCATCTACATACATTTTAAAATAGAGCACATATTTGAAACGTGTTATTTACTAAGCCCATGGCAACTGCTTGATGTGCATGTTGAGTTTATTGCTTGCGGTAATTCTCCAGCCAGCCTGGGAGCTGCTGGATTGAAGTTTTACACACGTTTGATAGACATTCTTATAAAACATGACGAACAGAAGTTGGTTAACTGAAAAAGTCAGTTAAGTGTAAAAGCATAAAAATTCACATATGTACCTTAACATATGTAATCGTACAATCATTTAATGAATCTGGGTTTGATCCTGTGTCTTCTCCTACATTAAAGTCACTAATTTTATTTACAGCATACATGATTTCTGCATTATGCATAGCTGACCCTCTGTATCACCCCCCCACCCCTGCATGCATACCAAAGTCTGCCCATGCTCAAGTCGCTTATATAAAATGCTGTAGTATCTGTGTATCATCTTTACATATCCTCCTGTATACTTTAAATCATCTCTAGATTAATTATAATAGCTAATACAATGTAAATGCTATACAAATACGATATAGATATTATGTAAATAGTTGCTGATGTGCAGCAAATTCAAGTTCTGCTTTTTTGCAACTTTCTGGAATTTCTTTTTTCTTCAAATATTTTTGAGTCGTGTTCGGATCTATGGATATGGAACCCGGGGATACAGAGGGCTGATTGTAATTTCATGTTTCCAACATATTATCACAATTAATTCACCGTTCTATTTCAGCTTCCCGTGTATCACTGAGATACACTATGTTCCTCATTATCTTCAAATTAGGATATTTTGGTAGGATTTCAACCTTAAGCCACAGGTATTCCCCAAGATGTAGAAAATATTGAACTGGAAGTTTCATTCCAATAATAGTAAGGAAGGACCTTAATTATTCTGTAAGACTTCATGTATTCTATTTTTTTTCCAAAATGGAGCTAGAAACCTTTCACCTATACATCATATTCTCTTTATGCTGGAACTCCTTGATCTATAGACTCAAACAAAAATGTTACATTTGATGATAAAAAGGGCATCATGAAGGCAATGTTTTTAAGTTCCTCACAATTGAGATGGTTTAAAAAAAGAAAATTATCTTGAAAGAACTTAACCTTTTCAGACAAATTTTACTTTTTCTAATGTAGTCTTTAGCATTTCCTATAAAACAGGTGCCATCTAGTGGCCAGAACAAGAAACTAGCGTCGCTAAAAAATCAGGTACCAACAACCCACTGCTGAACTACTCCAGCGCTTTCTATCCCTGTAATTTATACTTATTTGTCAGATAAACACATGGAACAACCCAGGCAAGTCTGTTTCCACCAGGTGAGCTATATGCTTACCAAGAGTCACCTGTAATTGTTCCTAAATCTATTATACTTAAATCTGTCATTGTAATTTAATCCAAGTATTGCTTTTAACAAAGCAATCTGTCATTGTAATTTAATCTAAGTATTGCTTTTAACAAAGCACAAAAAATGGGCGGGGGGGGGCGGTTCTTTGAAAACTAAGATGAATGTTTCATAAAGACTCATGAAGGAAAGCCACATAAAAATTGCTGTGAAATCAGAAGACAACTGTAAGGAACTGCATAACAATCAACAAGGATTATGCACTTGTCTGTTTCTTTGATTAAAGAAACCAAAACAATGTTAAGTATAGCTTCTGCAAGAAAGACAATTGAAACTTCAATCTGCAGACCCATATGCAAATGAAAGGCCTCAGCAAGTACATCAAAAGGCTGGTGAATCAATGTCAATTCTTGTGTCTTGTCTTACAAATTTAATTTTTTTAAAAAATTTTATTTATTTATTTATTTATGGCTGTGTTGGGTCTTCGTTTCAGTGCGAGGGCTTTCTCTAGTTGCGGCAAGTGGGGGCCACTCCTCATCGCGGTGCACAGGCCTCTCACTATCGCGGCCTCTCTTGCTGCAGAGCACAGGCTCCAGACGCGCAGGCTCAGTAATTGTGGCTCACGGGGCTAGTTGCTCCGCGGCATGTGGGATCTTCCCAGACCAGGGCTTGAACCCATGTCCCCTGCATTGGCAGGCAGATTCTCAACCACTGCGCCACCAGGGAAGCCCACAAATTTAATTTTAACATAAGTTTTTGACTCCCCACTTTAACCCAGTTTTTTTCTATTAACAAAGTCCTGATCATTATAGATAAGCATTTCTTACCCATAGTCAAAGAGATCATTTGTCAAAACAGATGAGATCCTTGTTATAAAAACATTTATATTTTAATAGCATGAGGTAGAAGAAAATTTCATTACAGTTCAATGCTGGCATCTTATAATCAAAGAAGGATCATTAAGTCCAGAAGACGATGGTCATTACCTTAATGTAGATAACGGCATCTGTCCCATAGCCCTCTAGGGAATACAGCTTTAGGTCTCCTTGGAAGTACTGTGCATAAAGGCGTGATATGGGCAATCCGTAACCGAAACCAGCCTGTTTGATGAGAAAAATGAAATTCTACTCGGAAAGCCACACACTGAAATACTTCTCTAATTAAAATAAACGTTACTGGAGTATCCCAGGGCTATCAGGGCCCGCATCTAAAAGATCAGTTACTACTTAAGTATTAAAAATGATCAAGCTGCAGCCCAGTTGAGTACTGCATTAGACGGCTTCCCTCTGGTCATTTAAAATTCCTCATTCTTCTTATTTGTATAAAATGACCTGTGGGGGTCTAGAAGCAGCACTTTCTCTTCTTTATTGCCCTGCTCCAGAGCATCCCAATACTGCTTTCGGTGATACTACATAAAACATGGCCTCTCTCGGGAGCAAGGGTAGGAAGAGCCTGGTGGCAGCCTAACAGATTTATGTCATGGCCTCACACCATGAACTGCAGCCCGTGTTCTGAACCTGAAGAGATCCCTAATAGTTCTCTTTTAATTCTCACTGACAGGTCACTTACCCCGCTTAAAAATCTTTGAAGCACCCCAAAACCCACCCCACCCCCATCATCCAGACCCACTGCCTAAAAATCCAAGCTTCTAAAAAAGAGCTTTCAAGACTGTAAGAGCAGGTCTGTCCACCTACTTTCCAGTCCAGCTGAAGTAAATCTGCTCCTAAGTCCCTCAAACAGATCATGTTATTTTTCACATCTGTGTCTGTTCATTCTGTTCCCAGTATCTGGAATGGCCTTCTTTACCTGGATAAATCCTACCAATTCTTTAATACAAAGAAGAACATCTGGATAAATGTAAAAAAGGGTTTTATCACCAACTCAGATGTTCAATGACATTCCATGTAGTACTTCAGTAGAGAGTGTATGTGGATTCAGGAATCTGCTATTAACAAATCCAGGCTCTGGCCTTATCTACCTCTATCATTTATTACTTGATTTTTTTAAGCCAGAGTTTCTGGTTACCCCTCCAAATCAACTATCCATTCTCCACATTTATCCTTGCCCTGGGAGGCTGACCTGAACAGATGTCAGTGGATTTCTGTGCCCTCTGGTTCCAGTGGGTCTAGCCAGTGGGGAATCCAGTAGGAGTTCCAAGGGAGTCAAGTCAGGGTATTCATCCCCTGCTTCTTTCTTACTGAGGTTGCTTCCCCTGGGCAGGCTGGGTCCCTGGAGAGTAAGCAGCTGCTCTGCAACCTTCCCTTCTGGGTTCTGCTAACTTCTCCTTCTCCCCGTGAGTCAGGGTGGTGACAGCTCTGCTGCTGCCAGCCAGGATTCCTGTGCTATCCCACCCCTATTTCTATAATTTGTCTCTTCGTAGATAAGCCTTCCTTGAATTATAATTATAATATAATTATCACTTTCCAGGTGGGACCCTGACTGACACATTAAGTGGCTCTAGAAATGGCCCCAAGAAAACTGCATGAGCAGGTGGCTCAGGATCCCATGGTACCTGATCTACTTTATCACTGCCTCTCCCTGAACCTACCACACCTGTGGACCTATCAGGCTTCCCCTATAAGTAGTTAACATAAAAGTAAAACAGCATGGGCCTGGTCCACTGCTGGATCTACACAGTGTCCCACATCAGCCAAAGTGGACTGCCTTTTCACTACAGCCTCTCTCAGGGCCAGGCCTGAAAGACAGGAGTGAAAGCAAATCCTACCAGTGGGTGGAATTCAAAGTGGAACACCTACATGGACCATGGGCAGTGGCAAACGGGCTGGCTGGTCAGAGACTTGGAAAGAACACAACTGGATTAACAGAAGGTCTGGAAGAGGGAAATGTGGACAGTCCTCTCTGAACAGGCTTATAGTGTGAAGACATTCCATCCATGTAGATGCCCACCAGAAGGCATCACGTGGAGGAAGCTCTCAGTACTCAGGTATGACCTGATGACCACTCCTGTGGAGGTCAAGCAGCCTTTCCCCAGCTGCGCCAGTGCTTGCCTACTGGGTCCACTTACAATGGGGTCATGACATCAGGAATGAGGCTATATAAAAGCTTAACAATAGGCTTACCCTCCGTAAGGCTGTGTAGGTGTATGGGCAGCCTGCGCCACATCAAGCCTCCTGTTTTCTTAAAAGTTCAAGTAAATTTTGCATCCTAAACAAACACTTACATGGCATTTACTGTGTGCCAGGTACTTTAAAAAACATTTTAGATATATTAACTCAATCTTTATAGTAATTCGATTTTTTTTTTTTTTTTTGGCCACACCATGCTGCATGTGGGATTTTAGTTCCCCAATCAGGGATCGAACCCGTACCCCCTGCAGTGGAAGCACGGAGTCTTAACTATTGGACCACCAGGGAAGTCCATAATTCGAAATTTAAAGCTGGGGAAACCATGGTATTGAAAGGTCAAAAATATTCCCAAGGCTACACAGCTAGGATGTAGTAGAGCTGAGAATGGACCAGACAGTTTAGATTCAGAGTCTGGACTAGTACACTATGCTGCTCTCCATAAAAATTCTACAATGTTTGTTCACTACAAAAGCAGCATATCCCTTTTCTCCACTTCTTAGAGTAAAATCAGAATCTAAGAAGATACTGGTGTTTATTTGACCTTTTCTGTCCCACGGCACGTGGATGCCTACCAATATCTCAACTTGAAAAGCACATTCCTAGAGCAATCATTTTAAAAGTTTGGTAAGACATGAACTGTATTACAGTTGTAGCTACAGAATCTGTGCTGTGTAACTAGAATATGCTGTGCAATTAGAATGAAGTCCTTTTAGTAACTTCCTAGGAAAGAGTCTAAAATAGACCCATCTTATACTGTTTTTAATCACATTATAGCATAACTCCAGTGTATATGCCAGAGAACCTTCAAAGCCTGGAAGAACAAGAGTTTTTCCAGAATTACAGGTAAGAGATTTGGCAAAGTGCTCTTCTCGGTGTTGGAGGACCATGAATGAGTCCATTCAAAAGCTAACCTTATTAAAACCTGAAAATAGGTGACTATGATCAATTAAAAAACCCATCAACGCAATTATCATTTGAGCCATTTTCAGGTTGTCAATTAAACTGATCAGAGCTCTAGTCATACTTCTCAGTCTCAAACGTGTAATCTTTCTAATTACAAGTACTTGAGGGGGAAAAAAACCCAAACACTGAAGATTAAACCAAGTACTAGTAAAGCTGGTAATTTAGGCTTCACATTAGAGATAGTATATCAAAATGTGGTTTACCACATGGAAACTACTGACATACCACTATTAACCTTGGCAACAAGAACTCTAAAACCATACTCCTTGTCCTATGCTCTTATCATTAAAAAAAAAAGAATTTTAAAAACTATAAATTTAGAGGAAAGTGGGTTTTTTTTCCCCCAATAGCTTCCTTTCATCCTTGTGGTGAAACCTACACAACGGCTTAACTGATTTATGTGGTAAATTATTTTATGACAAGTCACAAAAACCTGCTTCACAATTTCTTGATCACATACCAAGGGCACTGCTCGGGACGTCTCAACACGAGGCCGGGGTGCAGTTGAATACATGTAGTTGAAGAGTCGGTCAATTTTCCTCAGAGGAACACCACCTCCTCGGTCACTCATCTAAGGTAATAAAGGATCATGGCCTGTCACCAAGTCCAAGAAACAGCAAAATACCAACACATGCTGTGTCACCATTTAACTGCTGGCTGAAAAGCTCTGCTTTCCAAAATGAATACCACGTGATACAAGTTGCAAATGTAAACATCTCCATCACTGCTGGACTTAACCCCTCTAATATGTAGAATTCTAAGACATAAGGAACTCCACTGTAATACAAATTTCAATGCTGTGGCTTTGTGTAATTACTGCAGTCACACTAATGATGCAGTACAGCACACAATGGGGCATAGGCTTAGCTTATCTTGGATGTAACAATAAATTTGTAATTCCTTTCTGGCAGGCAGTTTGGCAACCAGATGAAACATGCATGTACCCTTTGACACAACAATGTTTATCCTGAGAAAATAATCCGAAAAGCATGCTAAGTATGTATGAGAATATCCATCACAGTACTGTGTAGAACAGCTAAAACTGGATTACCACCTCAATAGGGGGCTATTTAAGTAAACTAACATACATTCTAAAACAGAATACTATTTTGCCACTAAATATTAGGTAGAACTGTATGTACTGGCATGAGAGGCTCATAAAATATTGTTAAGTAGCAAAAAAAAAAAAATGGAGAAGCATTTATGACATTCTAATTCTGCAAAAATTATAAAGAAGTCTAACAAAATATAATTGTCAAGGGAATTATGAGTGACTTTCTTTTGGGGTTTTAGTTTCTTAATTTTTTTCCACAATTACCTCTATTATGGAAAAAAAAAAGTATAATTTCCATTTTCAGGGAGGAAAAAACCAGAACCATTTCACTGTGTTTTAGAGTCTCATCTACAAGTAATTTCACAGCATAGTCTCCCAGACAACTTTCTGGTGAGTTATAAAGGACATAGTTCTTTACATTGTTCTTATGTCATTTTCCAACTCAAATCATATGGTAGACTGAATTTAGTAATTTATTTAGATTGTCTTCATTGTTTTCCTTCAGTTAACATGGACTTGTTTTCCTAGCTATCGTACAGCTTATCTTCTAATATACTTCAGCCATTTTCCCTTGTCACAAAATCAAAACTGATTCTACTGTCTATAATATTAACATGGTTGTGATATACAAACCTGCTTTTAACATGTGTATAGATATACAGATAAAAACTGTACGGAATGATATGTATTAAAAAGCCAATTTGAATAGCTTATAGCTGAGTTTTTATATAGTCTCTAAAAATATTTATGTGCACATCTATTACCCTCACAATGGAAATTCATAGCTATTTTAATTTTTAAACTACAAATCTGCTTTGAAATATCATTTGAAGACTGGCCTCTGATGTCTATAACTAGATAACTACAGTATAAAAATATACAAGAACTTTATTAAGAACTTGTATATGTAGCATTATGCTTGAAATTGTTCTTGGCTATGAATTCAAGCCCTGTGAAGAGATTTATTTTAGTAAGATGAATGAAGGGCTCTGGGTATTTTCTGAGATCCATCAATTTGTTAATTATTCATCCTTTAATTTAATGCTCTGCTGCACATTTACTGGTAACATGAGTCAAGTGTGGTTCTATAAATATTAAGTAAACAACACATTAGATACTAAGATAAAAAGGTACACTTCAATAAATATTTCGTGATCTTCCTTAACCTTTTGGTCAGAAACACTACAGCAATCCAGCAGGTATGAAACAAGAAGTGATTTCTAGCCATAGGTTAGTATGATAAAAGCAGAGAGTGGAAAAGAAAGGCCAGGGGTGACTCTGAGAAGTGTCATCTCATTAGAGGTGGAGGGGTAATCTAAGCCATGGAAATATAGTTAAAAATTGATAAAGGTAACTGCTTTTGCTTTGCAGCCAAAAATACAATAAACTGGAACCAGTACATTTTTGAAGTGGTCAAAAGAGTTTCCAAGAGAATTGTAACAGGTATTATAACAGAACCTGAGTTCTTTGGGGAAAAGGGACAGAGGGAATAACGGAGAGACAGACAGACACGTTTGGTCTGCATATATTTAAGACAAGAAGAATGGCACTCTGATGACAAATATATTGTGAAAGAGATGTGAAAATTGAAAAACTCTAAAGATTATTTGAAGGAAAAAAATCAAGAATCATAGAAACATAAGCCTACACCAAGGAAAAGGAAAGAGATTGTGAAAGAGAAGGGTGGTGTGGAGTAATGTCAACAGGAAGGCAGAGGAAGAGAAGTTTGCCAATTACTTTGAAAATTTTCTCTTCAGTGCATGAAATCACCACCTCTCAATGTCACCTGAGACCTGCCATCCCTAAAGTCCTGTTTCCCATAACACTAGGCTCCCTGGGCTAATATATGTGGATTTTCAGGTCCACGGGAAATGAACCACTACTAACTTGATGACAGTTCTGAAGGCAGGAAATTTACCAATCCTGAATTCACCCATAGCTCCTGAAGTTTCTTATTCAACATCTTTCTAACGTCCGGTTTGTAAAACTGCCAACAGTGAATGAACCAAGACATTTAAGTTTTAATTTATAAGACATGTGGCTATAACACTTATGTTATTTACTGAATACAGACCAAACACCAAATCTGAAACAGTAGCTAGACATGTAAGTCAGAAAAAAACAATTCTTTCACAGGATTTTTAGCAGAGGGATAAAAAGTAAAAAAAAATGTCAATAATTTCAACAAGCTAAAAGAATGGGGGGCAAAAAAATCCAGGCCTTGATCCTGAAAAGTCTAGAGTAAGTGATGGGGATGAAAGCTCTACTGAAGAAAATTAAAGCAAGCATTTAACATGGAAAGCGCTAACAAGAGCAGATGCAGTCATGTGACCTGGATGTGAGGAGAGCCTGATATAGCTAAGGACTTGTACAGAAGCTTCTGGAACAGTCTGTTCAAAACCCTTATAAGCCTTTCTTTTTTAAAACAGCTTTATGGAAATATAATTCACATACCATACTATTCACCCATTTAAAGTATACAACTCAATGATTTTTAACATACAGGCATACCTGTGAGATATTGTGAGTTCAGGTCCAGATACCACAATAAAGCAAATATCACAATAAAACGAGTCACTTGAGTTTTCTGGTTTCTCAGTGCCTATAAAATTATGTTTACACTTATCCTGTAGTCTATTAAGTGTGCAACAGTATTATGTCTAAAAAAATGTACATAAACATTAATTTAAAATAAAACAAAAAACAATTAGAATATCAAAGATCACTGATCGCTATAATAAACACAATAATGAAAAAGTTTGAAATATTGCAATTACCAAAATGTGACACAAAGAAATGAAGTGAGCAAATGCTGTTCGTAAAATGATGCCAAGAGACTTGCTCAAAGCAGGGCTGCCACAAACCTTCAGTTTTTTACAATAATGCTGCAAAGTACAATAGAGTGGAGCGCCATAAGACAAGGTATGCCTCCATTCACAGGTATGTACAACCACCACCACAGTCAATTTTAGAGTACTCTCATGAAACCACGGGCTCTTTACTGATTACACTCCTAAGCAACCACTAATGTATCTCTTGTCTCTATGTATTTGTCTATTCTGCACTTTTCACATACATTAAATCATAATGGGTGGCCTTTTGTGATTAGTTTCTTTCACTTAGCATATTGTTTTCAATGTTGTAGCATCCATGTTGTAGCATGAGCCAACACCTCATTCCCTTTATGGCCAAATAATATTCCATTGTATGGATGTACCACATTTCTGTTGATCTATTCGTCAGCCAATGAACATCTGGGTTGTTTCTAGATTTTGGCTACTGTGAATAATGTTTCTATGAACACTCATGTATCAGTTTTTGCTTAAATACCTGTTTTCAAGCTTTTGGGGTATATACCCAGGAGTGGAATTGCTGGGTTATTATAAACCTTTCTTTATACCAGACAGACACAGAGTCCCTAAGCAAAGCCTGTCCCCCAGCACAGAATGAGTCACTGATGAGTGCTGAAGAGCTCAGTGAACCTTGATCGATACAGTGATGGATGACCACAAGTAATGGAAAGCAGCTGCAGACCAGCATGCTAAAGCACAGGAAACACAAGCAGAAAAAGGTACAAGAAAGACCATGCTGCAGCATAACTGATGCCCCAAAGCGGAAGACATATGGGACTTATTTTGAATCAAACAGACCCTAATAAGCAAGTAGCTGACACATAACTAACCAAAAAATAGGCACACATTAGCATCTGGAATGGAAGAAAGTGATATATTCACATTACATTTTCAGCAGAGAATATTCCCATATATTTATTTGTGCCTCATTCTTTTATATAAATAGCCAAGAGGGATAAACAGAAAAAAGGAATTCAGAGGAAACAGTACAGAGAGCTGAAGCATTTTAATTTTTTAAAAAATAACTAATATCACTATCCTCTGAGTGATTTAAAAAAAAGATGAAACCAGAACAGAATACTACAAAAAAAAGGAATAATAAAAAATAAGTTCCTGGGAAATTTATAATAGAAATAAAAATTCAATAGAGGAGTTGGGAATTCAAAGTTAAAGAAATCTCAAAGTAGAATGAAAAGTTCAAGATATAAAAAACAAGAAGAAAAGATAAAAATCAGAGGGCCACTTCACGAAGCCCAACATCTTTGAAATATGACTATCAGAAAGAGAAACAGTAAAGAAGAAAGTATTTCAAAGAAACAGTGGAAATTCTAAAGGACCCAGCTCAATGGGTACAAAAAGGCTCACATCAAGTCACATCATTATCGAATTTCAGAACAGAGCTGAAGATCTTAAAAACTTCAATTAAACAAAGAAAACAACAAAACCTGTCACTTATAACTGGTCACATACAAAGGAACAGGAATTGGAATAAGCATAAGTCTTCTCAAAAGGAATAGCAGGAGTGACGTCAGCAGAAACAGTGGAGAAAGGACCTCCAAAAAGTCCTCCATTAAAGCACCAAAGCAAAAAGGCAAAAATTGTCAGGACTCTGGAAATTAACCAAAGGCTTGTAGCAATCTGGGGAGTATTGACTCAAGAAAAACA